ACTTTGGTCCTCTTACAGGAAGGTGGCTATACTTCTGGTTTGTTTGGGACAGTTCCAGTTTTTACCTGTTGCTTGACATCCCCTCCAGTCAGCACCCCATTTCATTTGCAAAAGGATTCCCATTTGGATACTGAATTATATGGTCATCTTCCTTACAGTCCTATCTTCTCACAGTAGCTAAAGTCACCTTTTAAAATATAAATCAGATTATGTCATTCCACTGCCTGAAACCCTTCAAAGATTTATTACATAAGGATGAAATCTGAACTCCTTATTGTGGTCTACAAGACCCTATATGACGTAGTCCACCTATTTCTAATCTTTTAGGACTCTGTTGTCCACTCATTACATTCCAGCCCCACTGGCCTTTCAATTCCACCAATTAGTCATGCCATTTCTACTACCAAGTCTTTGCTTTTGCTGCACCCTTTGCTGCTACCTAATTCCCTTAGATCTTCTCATAACAAATCTGTTCTGTCATTTTGTTCTCAGATCAAATATTAACTCTTCAGAGAGAGGCCTTCTTTGAAAACACATCTAATGTTCCTAACTCCACTCAAGTTACTATTACATTGTTCACTTATTTAATAGTCGTTTATTACTTATATTTCCCCCCTAGAATGTAGGCCCGTTGTTACCTTGTTTACCTCTGGTCCCCAGGGTCAGAGCATGTGCTCAATAAGTATTTACTGAAAGAATGACTCACAACCAAAGAAAAAAATTAAAACCAGGACAGCTCACAGAATTTGACTAACATATCAGCAAAGATTAAAAGAACAAAAATGCCTATTTTTCTTTCTAACACTCTGTATATTGTCTGACATTACATTTATGTGATTGTTTATTGTTTGTCTCCCCCTGACTAAAACAGAACCTCCACAAGGGCAGGGACTTGGTTTTATTCACAGCTGTATTCTTAGCACCTACAAGTACCTGGCATATAGTAAGTGTTCAGTAAATATTTACCAAAAAAAATTGACAATATCTGGGAGTGACTAGGTAGTGGAGAAAAGAGTATGGTAAGAATATAATTGGCGCACAATTTCTGTAGGAAATTTGGCAATATATATCAAAAGCTCTCAAAGGTGGCATACCTCTTGACTTTACACTCTCACTTCTAAGAGGAACTTATCTTAAACAAGCAAATGAACAAGGGTACAAAGATTACTTATGAGGGACTTTATACTGTGTTGTTTATGACAAAGAAAATTTAGAAATGTCAGCATGATATCCTTTAATAGGAAGTTATAATTATAAATCTGTTCAATGAAATATATTAAAAATATTTTGGAGGAGGGGCACCTGGGTGGCTCAGGTTATGATCTCAGGGTCCTGGGATCAAGCCCCCGTTGCAGGGAGCCTACTTGTCCCTCTGCCTCTCCTCCCTGCCCATGCTCTCTTTCTCTCTCTCTCAAATAAATAAGTAAAATCTTTAAAAAAAAAAAAAGTTCCTCCTTATTAAAAAAAATATTGGGGGGCGCCTGGGTGACTCAGTCGTTAAGCGTCTGCCTTTGGCTCAGGTCATGATCCCAGGATCCTGGGATCGAGTCCCACATTGGGCTCCCTGCTCGGCGGGAAGCCTGCTTCTCCCTCTCCTACTCCCTGTTTGTGTTCCTGCTCTCGCTATCTCTCTCTCTCTGTCAAATAAATAAATAAAATCTTTAAAAAAAAATATTGGGGAGGCATGTATTTATTGGTGCAGCAAGAGATAAAAAGTGTATTAAAAGGCAAGCTAAAAAAAACCCACATGTAGGAGCGCCTGGGTGGCTCAGTTGGTTAAGCATCCGTCTCTTGATTTTGGCTCAGGTCATGGTCTCAGGGTCCCAAGATCAAGCCCTGTGTTGGGCTCCTAGTTCAACGTGGAGTCTGCTTGGGATTCTCTTCCTCTCCCTCTGCTCCTTCCCCAGCTCTCTCTCTAAAAATAAATAAATAAAATCTTAAAAGAAAACCCCACATGGGGCACTTGGGTGGCTCAGTCGGTTAAGGGTAGGATCTACCTCCGGCTCAGGTCATGATCCCAGGGTCCTGGGATAGAGTCCCGCATCGGGCTCCCTACTCAGCAGGGAGCCTGCTTCTCCCTCTCCCTCTGCCTGCCGCTCCGCCTGCTTGTGCTCTCTCTCTCGCTCAGTCAAATAAATAAATAAAATCTTTTTAAAAAAATTAGAAAACCCCACATGTATAGCAAAATTTCATTTTTGCAAAACTACATGGGGAAGACACATACATGGGTATGTATGAATGCACACGGGCATTTACAGATAAAAGTTTGGATGGACATACTTCAAAATGTCAACACTAGTTGGTGTTTTTTGGATGGTGAGATTAATGGGAATTTTAATTTTCTTCTACACATATTTCTAAACTTTTTTGTAATTAGGTCAACAAAAACTATTTGAACATGTTCGGCTTCTATAAATGGGAAACAAAAAGCAATGAAGTATTATGAAAAACATAGACACACCTCATAAACTTAATGAAGACTGGAGCCTAGGTTTAAAACCAGGAGTTCAGAAATGTTAACTACAGTATTGTAGATGGTTTTCTGATTTCTTGAATTTAAGCAAGTTGTTTTCTCAGTCAATATTTGTAAAAAAGAAAAAAATAAATAAATAGAACTTGTTTCTTTTATTTCATTGCCTGCCAAGCTTGAGAAAGTCAGGCTTTATTGAAAAATAACACAAAGTGTAGCAAAAGCTATCACTGATACTCGGCATTCTCCTTGCTTGCCTCATTAAAAACCTTCTAATGGTCCTGCGAGGTATCAACATTCTCAAGTGCAAAAGCTGAGAGAGGTGACAGAACTTGTCAAAGCTCTTGCAGCTGCTATGCGGGAGATCCTGATTTGAAGAGGTCTCCCTGACCGCAGGGTCTTCAGGGAAAGCTAGACAAAGGAGCTTTAGGCTTTAACCTTGCAAGTCTCTTAATGCCTCTGATCTTTTACATGGTTATCCTACTGCCCTATTTAATTTGCAAGAATGATAAAAGGAGAACGAGCCTGGAGTTTTTAAGAAAATTGGAGTAAATATATGGAAAAGCAAGATTTACACTGGGTACTATCAAAAGGCTCAAGATGAAAACGCTTGGTTGGGTAGTCATAGGGGAGGGGAGCAGTTTGAGCACACACCCGTATGTGTGTGAAGGGCCACAAGAGACACCACAGACTGGGATAAGGATGACATCTATGCACATGAAGAAGGGAGCCGGGCCAGGATGAGGGAAGTTGGACAGTACCTGGGAGGAAAAGGAGCTGGTAGATGGACAAAGTTTAAGGAGGATTGAAGAGAAGAAGTAATAGGAAAGAGGAAGAACTAGGAGGAAAGGCAGTTGTGAGTTATTCTGCAGTATGTTTTCCTTCCACCCTTTTTTCTCCCTTTAGTCTTTTCCTTGCTGATCTCAGTCACAATTCGGCCCTCAGCGCTCTTTTCTACTTGGATGATTACCACATCTCTCCAGTCCTGACTTTTCTCCAGAGTCCCAGAGTCCTCTCCTTTGAGGTCCAAACTGAACGCAGCATCCCTTCTGCCTCAAGCTTGCTCCTACTCTTGTACTTGCTCTCACTTAATCAAACATCCATTTGAACTGTTCTCTCTCCTCTCTTCCTTCTTTCTTTCATCCAACAAACATTTACTGTGGGTCTATTACATCTTACACACTGCTATTCACTTACCAAGTTGGCCCACTTCTACTTTGAAAATCTCTTCTGTCCATCTCATCTAAATTCTTAACTGAGATTTACTGAGAATCCTTCATGCTTGAACCATGGCTACACAGGACTATAAGTTAATTGGTTTTGCATGCCATTCATTTTGTAATGACCACCTAGCATTTAGCATTATACCTGGGACACAGAAGGGGCTCGCAGTGGAGACTCAGGGACTGCAAACTAGCTGGGATTGGAGGAGCAGAAGCTAGGAGATTTGTCTTGAAGGAGTATTTGCATATGAAGAAAGGTGTCTTCCTTAAATTCTTGGTTACAGATCTATACAAATAACACCAGCATGAGAATGCTTTTATTTCTGGGGTGTGGCCATAGGAGGCTGGGAAGACTGCTTAAGTCTGATGTTGAGAGTCTTCTGGTAGAGAGAAAGCCTGTCCACCTCCCACCCCTTGAATATTCAATAGTCACTTGTTGAATATATCACCTTCCATGAGAGGGACCACGGATGTTGTGTTCTCCTTAGTATCCCCAGGGCCTAGAACATTTAGCCCACATTAGGGGTTCAGTAAATATCTGTGGAGGATTCTAGAAAGGCAGGAACAGTAAATATTTCATTCACCATCTCAGGAAGAAGGACAAAGACTAAGGGGCTCGAGGGAAAAAGAAACAGAGCAAGATATTTCCCTTCCTATTCCTTTAGAGCTTGGTAAATGTTTGCTAAGTGAAATAAATCGCCCTCCTGCACAACTCCAAAATCGGGCCCCTCGCTCGGCTGCCAGGCCCTGGAGCGCGGCCACCATCTGGCTCAGGCTCAGGCCCGCGCTTCCCTCTTTCCCAGCCCAGGCTCCTGTTACCTCCCTGCACACATCTGTACCCACCACAGGCCAAACAATTACACGCTCCCGCGGCCCTGCCTCGAGATCCGGGACAGCCCCTAGGACCGCGTCCCTTCAGTCCCCCGCCCCCCACTCCGGGTCCAAGGGAGCCCGCGGCCGGGCCTGAGGCCGCCGCCTGCAGCGGGCTCCCGCACCCCCAGCCGCAGGCGCGCCAGACGCCGTCCATGTGCTCGGCCGCAGTCGCCAGCCCCGGCCAGCTGAGGCTGGAGCGGGGAGCCCGGGAGGCCCGGCGGCCGTGGCCCGGGCCAGCGGCGCTCCTCAGGGCGGGAGAGGCCCGCGGACGGCGAGGCGGGAAGCGGCTGCAGCTGTGTGGCGCCAAGGGGCGGGAGGCGGGGGTGCAAGGGACAGCGGGCCAAGCCGGGGCTGGGGGGAGAGGGAAGCGCGCGAAGATGCGGGCGGCACTCCAGTCGCGGCGGGGCTTGGCGAGCGGCGGCTCGCTCACTCACCACAGTCCGGCGGGGCAGCGCTCCGGGGGTCCGGGACAGGGCCCGGCGGAGCCTTCGCGCCCTGCCCGAGCGGGCCCCCCCGGAACTCTCGGAGCCGCTGTCGTCCGAGATCACGATGAAGTCCTCCATGGCTGCGGGCCCCGGCCGAGGCAGCGCGCGGGCGGCCGGCGACCCGGGCGGCGGCGGCGACTTCGGTTCCTGCTGCTGAGGCGGCGCCGGCGACGGTGGCGGCGGCGGCGGCGGCGACGACAACCGGAGCCATCACCCCCCCGAGCCCCGCCCCCGCCAGCCGGCCCCGCCCCGCCCCGCCTCGCTCCTCCTGAGCCTGCCCCCCGGCGGCGGGCGGCGGGCAGCGGGCAGCGGGCGGCCGGGTTAGGGCCGCGGGCGCTGTGCTAGGCGGGGCCAGGGGACACTCGTCCTCCCTTCCTAGGGAGGAAAAAAGGAGAGAGAAAAATCGAGTCGCAGCCGGCTTGGGCCGGTGTTGCGGGCGTGTTTGTGTGACGCTGAGACTGCGAGGGCTTCCGCACCTGTTTCCAACCGACCCAAGTGTGAAGTGAGGTGTGAACAGGGCTCTGACTGAGCCCGCGTCCACTAACTGCTCTTGAGGGGAGGGACCTGGCCTCTGACAGACGGGGTGGAGGAGCCCCGGACTGACTGAGGGTAGGTGGCCTGGCCTGTGGCCAAGTGGGGCACAGAGGCCCCACTTCCTTGTGCACATGTGCAGTACGTCTGTAGGATAAATTCCTAGAAGTGGAATTACTGGGTCAAAGGTGATGTTTCTGCTGTTTCGATAAATGATGCCAAATTACTCCTAAGTTGTACCAATTGGCAGTTTCACCAACAATCTGTGTCACTCAGGAATTTACACTGTGAGATTTAGACACTTGTACAGTTGGTAGCAGGATCAGAAACTTGAAAAAATGCACAATGAGAAGCCATGAGGTAGCACATGCCAGGAATAATTAGATGTTATGAATGAGCAAAGCTATAAAGGTAAACAGAAAGATATACCCCATAGAGGGAGAAGTGGTAGGTGTAGTTGGCTGGTTGTAGTGTAGGAACATTAAAATCAAGGTAGGATCTGTGTTATGATAAGTGTGGGTTATTGACAAAAATCCTGTTGCTCATGCTCCAGCAACTTGGTATATGTGTTGACAGGTCCAATGGGAAATTGTATTTATCCGAAGAGGGATTGTTTCCCAAAGGAATGGTTGTCAGGTGCTACCTAAGCACTGTCTAGTGCAGTGATTCTCAAACTTTAGAGAGCATCACCATCACCAAGAAGACTTGTTCAAACACCGATTGCTGGGCCCCACCCCAGAGTTTCTAAATCTGGGGTAGGTCTGTATGAGCCTCTGAATTTGTATTTCTGAAATTTCCCAGGTAATGTTGATGCTGCTATTCTGGGGACCATGCATTGAAAACCACTGGTCTGGTGGGCGAGGAGTCTACGGCCAATGGATTTCAGAAGTTCTGGTCAAACTGCTAAAATCATCCCTGTTGTGAAGGGATTCATTAAGTTGTCTTCACCAAATGCCATTAGGCATTTGGTTTATTTAACTCCCTGTTTCTTTTTTATTTTCTCAAGGTTTTATTTATTTGAGAGAGAGAGAGTGAGAGCATGAGAGGGGGAGAGGGTCAGAGGGAGAAGCAGACTCCCCGCCAAGCGGGGAGCCTGACTCGGGACTTGATCCTGGGACTCCAGGATCATGACCTGAGCTGAAGGCAGCCGCTCAACCAACTGAGCCACCCAGGCGCCCCTAACTCCCTGTTTCTGGAAACACCGTCTTCTCAAGGCTTCTGTGACTCTGCACCTCTCTTACTTTTCAGTCTTCTTAGATGACTCCTGATCCTCTACTCACTCCTTAAATCTTGATGTTCCTCAGAGGTCTGACATAGGCCACCTTCACACACCTCTTCCTACACAATGTCAACTATTCCTGTGGCTTTAAATGATATTTTTCATGCCGATGACTCCCTAGGTTTATCTCTAGCCCTGTCCTCAAAGCTCCAGATATATGTATCCAAATGTGTATCAAACCTCAGAGGCATCTCAAGTTGAATATGTCTAAAACCGAATCCCTGTCCCCTCAAATAAAAGCCTGCTTCTTCTTCTCTGTTCCTTATCTCAATGAATGGTGGTACTACCAGCCAGCAAATGCTCAAGTGAGAAATCTGAGCATGATGCCTGATTTCTACTTCTTTCTCACCAACAAGTCCTGTCTCTTTTTATCTCCTAAATATTTTTTGCACCCTTTCACTTATTTTGGCCTCTACTGTTATGACTTTAGGCAAGCTAAGACCACCTCTGGCCCAGCCTACTATAGCAGCCTCCTATCTCATCTTCCTGCATCTATTCTTGCCCTCTTTCCTTCCTTTTCCCACATTCAGCCAAAGTGATTTTTAAGAGATTATGTAATCAAACCGCCTTTAGTGGCTTCCTAATAACACTATGTCTTAGTTGGCTTAGGCTGCCATAACAAAATGACATGGTCGGGTTACTTAATAGAAATTTATTTTCTCACAGTTCTGGAGGCTGGGGAGTCCAAGATCAAGGTGCTGGCCAATTTGGTTCCTCTCTCTTTGGGTTGCAGATTTCTTGTTATATCCTCACATGGTCTTTCCCCAGTGGGTGCATGCAGGGAGAAAGAGGGGAGGGAGGGAGGGAGAGAGGGGGAGAGAGAGAGAGAAAGAGAGAGAGCTCTCTTCTTTATAAGGCCACTAATCCCAGCATGAGGGCCCCATCTACATGTCTAATCTAACCTTAATTACCTCTTGAAGACCCCATCTCCAAATATCATCACATTGGGGGTTAGAATTTTAGGGGAACACAAACATAACACTATAAACTTTTAAATATAAAGATTATATATATACACATATATATAAGTTAAGTGTTATATTTATATATAGTAAATATATGATTTCACTGTAAGTAAATTTTACCCTAAAAAAAAAGGGAAAAAATTTTGAACTCTATGATATGTATGCTATAGTGAAGGGATGAAGTATACTGATGTTTTTAAGTTACTTTGAAATGCATCAAAAATAAGATAGGTGAATGTGTGGATGGATAGATATAGATAAAGCAAATATAATAAAATGTTAACATTGTCAAATCTGCATGGTAATATATAGATGTTTACTTTAACTTTAATGTAAATTTGAATGTTTTCATATTATGTTGAGAAAAAATTTAAAATTAAGAGAGTGAATTATGATTTTCCCACAATTTTAAAAAGTTTTTTTTAAAAAAAAGGAGAGAGAAGAGGCATCTGGCTGGCTCAGTCGGTTAAGCGTCTGCCTTCGGCTCAGGTCATGATCCCAGGGTCCTGGGATTGAGCCCTGCATCAGGCTCCCTGCACAGTGGAGAGCCTGCTTCTCCCTCTCCCTCTGCTGCTTGCTCTGCTTGTTCTCCCCTGCCCCGTCAAATAAATAAAATATTTTTAAAAAAGGAGAGAGAAGATTATAATGAAACCTGTGTGCCCATCGTCCAGCTTCAAGAATGATCAATCTTATTCCACTTATATTCTCACCCACTCTCTCACCCCTACCTTCCTGAATTATTTTAAAGTAAATCCAAGACATTACACTGTTTATTCTAGAGATATTTCAGTTTGTATCTTTAAAAGATAAGGAATCTTGGGGCGCCTGCGTGGCTCAGTCGTTAAGTGTCTGCCTTCGGCTCAGGTCATGATCCCAGGGTCCTGGGATGGAGCCCCGCATCCGGCTCCCTGCTCCGTGGGAGGCCTGCTTCTCCCTCTCCCACTCCCTCTGCTTGTGTTCCCTCTCTCGCTGTGTCTCTGTCAGATGAACAAGTGAAATTTAAAAAAAAAAAAAAAGATAAGGAATTTTCATTTAACGATTTGTCAAGCACATATGCTGTACTCAAGGGGTACATTAGTGAACAAGGTAGACATAGTCTCTGGTTTCTGGTGATTATAGTTTATAAGGAAGACAAACAATAAACTAATAAATAATTATAAATTATGACAATAACCCGTTTGAGAAATCTTAACTTGTAAGATATAAATATGAAACAATTTTATTGTTTCTCCAATAACCATTACCACTGTCTCTAGAAATCCTCTTGGTCTCTGACAGTGAATTCCCTTAAAAATATCCTACTCTAGGGGCACCTGGGTGGCTCAGTTGGTTAAGCATCCAACTCTTGATTTTGGCTTAGGTCATGATCTCAGGGTCATGGGATCTAACCCCACGTGGGGCTCTGCAGTCAGCTCAGGGTCTGCTTGTCCCTCTCCCTCCCCCTCTGCGCCACCCCTGTGGTATCTCTCTCAAATAAATAAAATCTTAAAAAAAAAAAAGAATATCCTACTTTGGTCCCATAACTATGAAGTCACTTTCAGTAACTAATACAGACTCTTTCCAAGTATTATGTTTTAGGCTTGCCCATTTAAAATCTTTAATCTCATATTTAATTCATAGCTCTTCCTATTCTTCTGTGCAGGTAGACTTGTGGTTATAATAGCCCTTAGTGGAGGGGGTAGTAATGTCCCCTTCTCTCTCCTTGGCTCTTGTTTCCTCCCAAGTAGGGATGAGGAGGAGGAGAATGTTCTCTGCAAGACTGTCCAGGAAGAGTTGTTTGTTCTCTTTCTGCTGGTTGTTGCTACTTCAGTAACAGTTCTCTCAGTGTGTCAGGAGCCCAGATGCCAGCAGTCTTACTTGGGCTGGGGACAGTTGCTCTCTGGGGCCTCCCCTATGCACTTCCCGACCTAGAAAAAGTCAGTATCAACCTCTTTTTCCCAGGTCCCCACCAGTCCCTGCCAGCGGCAATCTAATATATAGCCTTTTGTTTTGGGGGGATCCTTGCCTGGAGGGGCTTCTTGGGGAGTGCCAGCAAGAGCCTCAAGCCTCAGGGATCTTCTGCGCTGTCTCGTTGACTCACATGGTGAATTTACATGCTTAATGCAAGAAGGAAGGAAATGCAGGTAGCTCTCATCCTTATGGCCCCTATCTCAGCACCAACTAGCTCTTTTCTCCCTTCCTTCACACCCAAGGACAATAGGGGCTCACTCAATTCAGTGGTTCAGAGACTTTCAGACAAGTTCTCAGCTTGGGGAATGGGAAGAGGTAGTTTGCTGCACTTTCAAATTGTGGGAAGGGAATGCGGGAACGAATTGAATGCCCTGTCTTCTTCAGCTAGGGAGAAGTAATGGGTGGTTGCCATCTATAAAAAGTAATATTCATCCATGGATATATGAACTAATTGGAAAAAATTTTTAATTCTACTTTTG